TAAAAAAAATGGCTGATCATATTTCGCTTCCATGTCTTGCACGGATCAGCGCCCACACTCCTTCTCGACCTTACTCCAAACGCCACGGACTTGGTCTGAGGGGACTTTAAGAGTGACACTAAAATGTTTTAAAAAATGATGGAAAATAAAGCTGGCCAAATTATTGTATACATAAATATATATATATATTTATATATCTTACTTTTATATATGTCGTCTAATGTAGATGTGGATGTGGATGTGGACGTGACTTGAATAATAACTTCTTCCCAAGTACAAAATAATCTTCAATTAATAAAATGTAACGAGTACCTTGCAACGGGTACTTTGGAAACAGACGCGTTTCGTACCTTCGCTATTTCAAGTTGGTATTATTTAATGTTTTATTAAAAAAACAAAACACAATAATGCGGCAGATTCTAACTGCAAGGAATGCAATTAATTGCCAGATGTGTTTTTTTAGTGCCTCGTCTCTGTTTTTGAGATTTAGTTTATATTGGTTGTTATGCCTTGTTAATTTTGTGGGAGCTAATTTACAATACACGAGATAATTTATTCAAGTATTTCATTTGGGTGTGTGTGCTTTGCCGCTTATATATGGTCATATGCACATATGTATGTATGCCTATGTGTAAGGTGCAGCAATATGGACAAAAGTATATTTAAGCAAATAATATTTAATACTTATGTGGTTATGGAAATACACATACAATTTAAGCTAGAGGTTTATTTTTATTTTTGTGTTTTTGAGGATCTGATTCGGATTGCAAGTGCACCATATACCAGCATTATGGTGTATATATGTATGTATGTATGAATATTGTTTTAAGCGGACTGTATGTATGTATATAGGTATATACATACATGTATACACACATACATACAGACACACAATACATACATACAGAACCAAGATGGAGGATGATGAGATTGTTTTGTGTAATAAAAGTCATTTATAAGACAAAATTGTGGCTGTCTTTAAACCTTTACGTACCTATTCCGCTGGATTTATTTTGATCAAAATACTGGATTCTGTATATCAGAGTAAATACCTTTCAATTGACTTAGGGATTTAAGTTGGAATGGGATTCCAAAGAATGTGTTTGCCATTTAATTATTTGGATATTCAAGCATTAGTTGAAAATTGTAAGCTTAGATATGCAAACTTTGCTATTTAGACAATTGTACATTAAGCACATATCACTATTGTTTCACTTCTATTTCCTAACCTGCGACTTGTCTTTAACTTCTTCTTCTTTCTGCTTTAGCAAAACGATTCAATTGTTGCACTTTTATATATTTCATCCCATCCAGATATTGGTCGATTATCTCCAATAAACTTATTCAAAGTCTCTTAACTCGAGCCGGCAAGCTTTATATTTAGTTAGCAGCTTTAACAGGAAATTACTTACTTATAGAATTGTATTGCCAAAGTTTTGCGTACATCAAGTCGGATTCCTCTTTGTTGGTTAACTGAAGAATTTGTTAATTTATTAAAAATATAGGAACACCCGAAAAAGCATCGCACCTACCCAATGTTTCGTTCTGCAGGCCATACATAGACCCTATATATCTTTGATCTAACTTTGAATGCACTTTACATATCAAAAACGTCCAAATTATGATGCGAGTAAGAAGTAAATATGAATTACTTTCAGAATATTTCTTTGGGAGTATATTCTTATAATACATTGTTAAAACAAACATAAAAGTCAAACTTAAATAATGTACAATACAAGGCACACAAAACTTATTTTGAGAATTTGTTAGCTTATCAAATCATCTCGTACACAATATACTTGTCCATTAGAGCATAAAAAGTTCCCTCAACTTTAAAAAAGTAAACAGATTTTATATTTTACAATGTCTGTTCTTTTTTTAAATCTTTAAATTTATCATTGCTTTCAAATTTCAACTTTTTTAATATGTACTTTTTTTTATCATTTTTGTGCTGTTTCTAATAACGTTTTTTCACTGTCTTACTTTTTCTTAAATTTGTTTTGCATTCTCTTAATTAAAGTCTTCATTTATAAAAACCGACTAATTATGCCAATAACGAACATAGCATCCATCTCCAAAGGCGCTTTCGATGATGTCATCGACGAGTTTGCTGGAACAAGAGAAGAAACAGAAAAGGGCGCGAGAAGAAAAAATAAAATAAAAAGAAGCAATTTAATATACGCCGAAGAGAGGCTTTCTGACTGCCTTCAGCACTAAGCTTTCTATAAGTTCTTTTTCAATTCATTTATTATTTTACTTCATTACGAAACAAGGGTCAATGAATAAAGAACAATTAGTAATAATATAGCCAAGCGGAAAATATTACTACCGCGAATTAGAATTTGATTGGAAGAGTTTTATGCTGTCATGAGCATCCTTTAATTGCGGGTCCGATGTCCAGACCAACTGACGTCTTCCGTTTTATATATTGCTTGAAGAGCTGTATTCTTAACTGATTGCCTAAACAAGTGAAACAAGTTTATAGATTGAAATTTTAATTCACCAAAAATATATTTTTATTACATATACTTATTATACACAACTTTTGTAGTTGAAACATGAAGGCTATATTTTACTGATTGGGACAGTCATTTGGCGACTGTTTTTTGCTGCCAATTGGTTTGCTGTGACCCTCATTCTCATCATCGTCGTATTCATCTTCTTCGTTTTCAAATTCCTCCTCATCGTCGTCGTCCTCGTCATCGACGATGTCCCCCGTATAATAAAGCACCGCTTTCGGAATAATCCTGGCGCGCAAAAAGTGACCGATTTCAAAATCGGTTGCCAATATCTGTACATGTACGAGCATAGTTACAAAATATTTTTAGAACACTTAATATAAAAATCTTACCTGCTGTGATTCATCATCGATTTCATCCTTGTCAGTTGAAACCTCTGGTGGATTAAAGAAATTGAAAAAGGAATCTGTAGGAACCAGTTTAACAATCGTGCGCACGGCGCCACGTTCCTTGTGCTTCTGCTTCTTTCGGATGGTCTTAACAGTTAAATTCATTTTCTTTTCCCAATTGATAACGCAACCTTTGCATTTATAAATTTCCGGCCCCTCGAATGCAAACGGATCTTCTGGGTCAACAGTAGATTTAAGGAAGTATTGCTTCGTAAGTACGGCATTAGAGAAATATTCATTTTTGTCGAAATGAAACTCTAAAGTATAAGAATGCTGAAAAGGAAAAATGTTCATAATGTTATACACATAATTTTTATTCAACTTTGTTAACTGAAACGAGTTAGTGGGAATATCTACGACACGAGGAAGATTTAAGAGATTTGAGAATAGTTAGAAAATATCATGAGACACTAAATATTTTGCCATATAAGAACCTACTCTTCGACCGCTCTTTCCTATAGCAGGATCATAGTGAAACTAATAAATCCCCAGTTTGGTCAAGTTATATTAATATAGATAAAGATAGCCAAGCCGGAACCTACATTTCGACCGGTCATTCCTATGGCAGTCATATGATATAGTGGTCCAATCTGAACGGTTCCAATGAGAGACAGACGGACTTGGCTATATTAACTTGGCTGTTCCAAGTGTTACACAATTTAGGACCCTCTTAAAGGGTATCCGAAGTCGCAAAACAATTTCGCCAATTTAGTTATGCTTCAAAGGAATACTGTGCGAATAATTTCACAAGTACAATAGATATATGGCAAAAACTTTAGAGCATATTATAATAAATACAAACTATATAGCTACTCTGGTAAATAAATTAAATAGGCGCCATAGACCGATAGACCTGGCATTGTCAGAATAGCTAACGGCAAAACAGATAGTTGATTAATTGGTCTACGTACTTCATTGTCATATTTAATAACAATATCCGTGAGCTTGCGAATAGCGGGTTCGTCATGAGTCTGAACCATTTCAGACAACATTGCGGTGTTCCGGAACACAGTTAGCCAAAAGTCTGGGATGCCCTTTGCATCTTGAGGCATTTTTTTAATGGATTTAAGAGATTCACGAAATCCATCGCCCACTTCTCCATCGGTCGGCACATTCTTAGGCTCCTTCCAATTGGGCTTCTCTTCTGAAGGATCTACATTGCCGACAACGATTTCTTTGCGCTTATCAAACATAGGTTGATATTTCAATTGATACTTTTTCTCCAACTTATAAACCTCATCAAAGAACTCAGCTTCAATTTTCAGATGTTCCAATTGCAAGTTCTTCAGTACAACAATCCTGTTCTGAACGCTTACTGGCAAGGCCTTTACCATTTCCTGCAAAAACTGCCGCCGTAGCACGGAGTTCATGTAGGCTGGCCTGTCGTCGAGTGGATGAATAAAAATTTAAATATCCAAAAAGTAAGAAAACATAAAGCGCTTTAATTACATGGATTGACAGTCAGAATTTGACTTATCATCTTCAATTTCATTACACGAGTCAGCATCGACATTTCCTTCCTGTGGAGCATCCATTCTGAATAAATGCGAGATTCTGAAACATGCGTACACGTGCACATTAATATAGTTGATCTTTTCGGTTTTAAGCACTAACATGCTGACACATACATATGTATGTACTTGTGTGAAAGTACATTTTATTAAATACGTACATGCAGAAAACTTATATATAAATGTCTAAGTACACATCCTAAAACAAATTAGGTCGCAAATACACATATACGTCATAATAGAATTGTTTCGTTGAGCGAGAACAAAAAAAAAACCCCAATTGCGTATGCCAGGCCATGTGTAATCGCACATTCCTTAGGACTAAAGCACGTGTGAGATGTGCTTTGAATTGGCAACCAACAATTCTGTGTATTACAATTGTATAGCACATGCAATAGCTTTTAATCAATTAAACAAGCTTATTACTAATTATACAAAATCGTTTTTGTACGAAAATATGATTTTTAAGACGACATACCTTCAGACAAAGAGTTCAATCGAAGAGCACGCCGCAACAATGTCGGCACAAAAGAATTAATTTCGGTGCGCAGGGCTACCTGTGAATAAAAACTATAAAATAATTACATACATTGCGTTAACCCATTGCACATAAAATAAAAGACATCAAGATAGCGTCGATAGTTTGACAAGAGAGAGTAACACGAATAGTCTAACGTTTATAGCTTCGATCATCAAAAACTGTTGAGAGTACTCTCTTTTCATCAGTTTAAGCAATTGTGCTCAGTAAACTTAATAAACTGTTAATAAGATGTATAATACCACAGTCATCTGCAATTAGAGAAGCTTAAAGTAAAACTTCTTTATTTGTTTCTTTACCTCTTGGTGTTTTAAAAAACTATTATCAATGCAAGATATATATGTTTTTGTTTATGTTATGTTGTGTTCATGTTTTACGAATGGCATAGAATCATGGGATAATTCATATTTCAGAGTTCTATTAGGTTATTACTGGCTACCAATATGTGTTTTGTATCATATAATAGCAACAGTTTTAAGAAAGAACCAATTTAGCTTCAATGAAAAGCTTGTGCGTCTAAAAAGCGCTTACTCTTAATAGAGAACATAAGAAATTGAAAATCGTTGAAAACATTAAATATTTACGGTTTAATAAGTTCTATATACAGTTCCACGTTTATACATATATAACAACATGATTTTAATGTTTATTGTAAATTATTTGCATTTTTGCTATTAAGTCTTTTTAAAGATTTGTTGGGTGATGTTTAATATGTTTTATGTTGGGCGATATCTACTGTGTCTGCAGATTGTTGATAAGTGTATGGAAAGCTGATAATCGAATTTTTTATATAATATTTTGATTTTATTATTTGAGATCTTATATATATGAGATCATTTATATATGAGTTCTTATATATATACCTTCAAACTAATTTGCGTCGAGAGCTAGTTGCTTTGAAAATGTCAAAGAGTTGATTAAATAATTTGTGTTAACTAATATTCCTTGGCATTTCCACGAAGATTGGCTCCTTGTCTACGGTTTTGCCTCTAGATTAATATGGATTTTAAATCTGGCAACTTATATTAAATATATAATAACTATTTGTCCGTGGTTTGGCCTCTAGATCAATTTTGCATTAAGACCTGCAAATTTATTCATGGTCATAATTCTTGTGAAATGGTACCCTCACACATCCCATATAAGGTATAGGTCATAGGTCGAAACTTCCCGCTCGAGCTTCAACCAAGCCTATAACTTCGTCGAAATCATCGCGTAACCTGCTGCCATAAGAGAGAGTGCGAGAGGCATCTAGCGGCGTCTCTATAAAAGCATTCAAATTTTGGGAGCTGTAAATTGTCTGCGTTTTACTATTACCTAATTATAATGTAATTTAGCAATAAGGAATATCGGTTTTAATTTGCGTATATGCAATGTTATAATCTAGCTGGGTCCTCTAAATTTAAAGTTGCTAATAATTTCCAACAACACATTAGAGTGCGTTTATTAGCCGAATATATAGATTGTTTTGTACAATTTCTGTCCTTCGCCTAGATCAACAACGAATGAATGCATTAGATAAGCAGCTGCGACAATTGCAAGAGAGACTTGAATTTTGAATGTTTGTTAAAGTTGTTGCTGATGCAATGCGACTCATGTAGAATCTAACACAACCGTTTCCCGCTAAACTTTACACACAATTTATGGATTAGGTTTTATTAAAATGATCGGATAGAAAACAAAAAAAATTGCGATACACTTGCTCCGTTAATTTTCCATTTTTGCGTGCACCCTTATTATATGAGGTAGCCTCAGCGAAATTTAAGATATTTATTAAATTGCTCTCTCTCCCTCAAAAGAGTTCCTGTGTTCTTAACCCCCTCCCCTTGCTGCGTCTACATATTTGTATAATAAAAACATTTCAGCGCTGGCGATGGTTCAAATTGCAACTGTAACTTGCGTTTAAATTCCTTTTGCAAACGCTCTATTGAAGTAAGCAGTATTGTGCCTTAACCGAATGTCATGTATAATATTTAGTGTGTGTTTAATTAACATCGCTAAAAACGATTTCTTCGAATAAGAAAAAACTATCGGTTAAGGTACATCTCTAGGTTGATACATAAAATAAAAATACATAAAAGTGAGTTTTTTAGTTATTGAAGAAAAGTTAAAAATCGTATTAGTTTTATAATGTGGCATGTTAGGGCAATTAACGAGATTTGTTATCCAATTTATATGTTTATGAAAAATATCTAGTGTATTGGTATTTGTGTAATCAAGGTATATTTTTCCTTGACATTGCCTCAATAAATGATGCTTTTATAATATAAGGCTTTTGTTAATAGAAAGCACATCATAAACAATAAAAATCGCGTTTTCTCAATACGTATTGAATGCTATGTGTATTTAAAATAAGTCTAAATGATTCCTTGCGTGCTAAAAGGCGATACAAGTCTGACCTTTTAATGCTGAAAAAAATAAAAAAAAAAACTACTAAACGTTACCTGATAAAATAAATTTGAATAAAACCTTGCCTGATCTACTTGCATATGGACATTACATTACAAATAGGCATATATTTGTACATTGGTAGATATCTGTGTATATATGTATACGCGACACGTAAATTTGAGTATATGCATACATATATATGTGAATACATATTTATAAAAATTGTTCAGATATTCATGCGCGAAAATTCATCCATTTATAATTTTAGTATATTAATAATATGTGATTAATTCCATCTCATATAATAGTTCCACAACAAATTTATGGTTTACATAAAGTGTGCACATGTTTAAATAATACATTTTATATCTAAACTTAGAGATATCCTTTAGGTACCATCTATATACATATATGTAAATCATAGATATATACATATACATACATGTATATATACATATATGAATACAAGTACATATGTGCTGTGTACGCGCTAACAAGCCCACTTTTCACCTGTTACACGGTACTCGAAACTTGTGCTTGTTCGCATAATTCGACATTTATATAGGCACATGCATATATACATGTATATAAATATGAAAATTATGTATATACATTTTATTATGCTTGACAATATGATTGCTAATTATTACGTTAAGCCCATACAAATTGGAATAAAAAGTTAACCAAGCCAAAATATATATCCTCATATAACATATCCAATTGTCGACCCAAACATGTCCCTTTGTCAAGTTGGGTCTAAACTCTTACGAAGAGCTCGTAGTTCCCATCGATGCCTGCCAAAAATGAATGCTTAAACGATTTTATTTTATATTAATAATTTAATTTGTAAGAACTGGTCATATTTGACCCTTTATTCTAATTATCTCCTATTGGTTCAAATAACAAAATATAAATATTTAATTTACATTATGATAAATAAACAATAAAACCGAACAATATGACTATATATATACATATTTTATGAAATATGCATATGTGTTGCAGATGTCTCAACAAAATAATACCTTATGCAACGGCTAAATAGGTTTAAATACATATGTTTTAATGTAAATTTGTATTTGCGTAGATTAATCTTAAACAGTCGCTTCGAGGCAACTTGAACGGAGTATTGGAATTGCATAAATTGGTTATAAAAATCAATTTAGTACCTAATTGATAGACTCTGTTATACTGGAGCAAAACGGAGAAAGTACTAGGGGTGCAGAGTCCCCCGACGCCAACCAAGAGAATCGAGCGACGTGTTGGTGGACGCCGTGGACTGCTATGGGTTGCTTTGGCTCTCCCACTTCGAAACAGTCTGATGTAAATTCGGAGGATTCAAAAAGCCAAAAGCGCAGAAGCGATGCCATATCAAGGCAATTGCAGAAGGATAAACAGCTTTATCGGGCCACACACAGACTTCTCTTATTGGGAGCGGGTGAGTCCGGTAAATCAACTATAGTCAAACAAATGCGGATATTGCACGTCGATGGATTTTCTGAACAAGAGAAAAAACAGAAAATTGATGATATTAAAAAAAATATTCGTGATGCTATATTGGTAAGTAAGTTTGTTTGTTTGACAGCTCTCTTTATATATATATATCTTCATATCAGCTAAAACATAATTGTTATTTGGCTTGGGGTTTTTTAGAACGGATTTCATTTTATTTGTCCTGGTCAGCTTGCCATTATACGGGCTGATGAGAGTTTAAGTTATTAGCTATTATTTATCATTGGACACCTATTTATCATATTGGGATCTCTATGAATTACATCACAAACTTGTATCACCAATTTGTTCACAAACTCTCTAAACAAATCCTTATCCTCTTGGTAAATCAGCCTTATCCACATCAAATACAAAAATAGCATAAAAGCGCATAAATATTGTTTACTATTGTTTAAAATATTACATTGTGTTTACTCTCTCAATATGTATTTCTTATTATTTACAGACTATTACTGGAGCCATGAGCACACTAAATCCACCTGTAGCTTTAGAAAAGAAAGAGAATGAACCCAGAGTGGAATATATTCAGGATTACGCCTCTAGTAAGAATACATAAAATTAGTTATTACATTTTTTTTGCTGGTTTTCATTTAGCTTTGATTACCCATTAATTAAGCCCTTTGCTTAGTGCTCTACCGACTGATAAATATTTTAGATATAAAGCTTTTTTTTATTAAATATCATTAAACAAATTATATGTGTTGTTCACTTTAACCTTCAACCATCAAAACATTTTTATTCTTTTTGATACACTATATTTTTTATTTATTTTTGTTGCAATTTTTGTGATCGCAATATTTTGGCTCGATCTTAAGAAGAGGTCATGAGTAGTAATCCTGCAATATTTGGTGACTTTAAATCTAAAATATAATGGAATATATCTTTGCCGCTTGCCTGGGCAGTGGGCGTTGCCAAAAGATTTTTGGTTGAACTTTAAAGGAGGTAATCCGTATTTTTCCTCTTAAATTTACTTACTGAACATTTCAAACTAGTAGCTTGCTTGTATTTACACGCTCATTCACAAGGATATTCATCAAGTCTCTCGTCGCTCAATGGCTGCAAAAAATTCCTTCATCCGGACAAGTCGAATATTGCATAGCAGCATATTTTAATTTTGTCACGAAATGTGTGAATGAGACGTCTTCCATAAAGCATATTTATGCCTATGCATAAATATACACTTATGTGCTCTATACATTAATGAGAGAGCACTGAAAGTAAGTCAAATCTGTACTGAGAGCAAAGCATAGGCCAGCAATGCGACTCTGTCCTTTGAGCGAGTGATAAACACGAGCGAAACAAAGTCTATATGGGACCTCTGTGGTCCCTACTATTTTTGTACTTATTCCATCTATATGTTCTAAGTCAGTGCAAGTAGTTAAGCAGACATGCAATTGACACACAATTATTTGACATTTCAGTGGTACAAAAAAAATGATGAAAAGGAAAATCATATTTCATTGTCATTGTCATCGTAATTAAAAAAACATTTCAGGAATGATATTGATTATTAAATTTCCGCAGCGTCAAAAAAAATAATATCGAAATTATTCATTCGCATACTTACCATATGAAAAAATACGAAAACATTCTTAAATATTAATGTTTTCAGTGCAAACTTAATTTACCACATTTTTAAAAATATACAAAAATCAGATACGTTTTGCAGCATATCTAAAATTAATGTGAACTACATTGGTTTGTCAACGGCAAGAAGAGACCATATTTATCGAATGAACATTTTCAAAACTTAGTTTTATAAAGTAAAAATATTTAAAAAAACTAAAAATCGTATTATTTTTGATCAATTATCATTATTTTTAGTGATTTAATGTTTCAATGATGAGTAGGTGTCAAACCTCAAAAGTTTACTAATGAATTCGTTTATCATAGACGGGTTTCCCCTTCTAGAGTTTTTATGTTGAACTCGCTTGCTTACCATTGTAGCTTAACTTATTGCCCAACTTCTTTTAATCTAGGTCCAGACTTTAACTATCCTCCTGAATTTTATGAGCACACAGAAGAATTATGGAAAGACAAAGGGGTCCTTCAAACCTACGAGAGGTCAAATGAATATCAATTAATTGACTGCGCAAAATAGTAAGTAATATATCATTTATGTAAAGCTCACAAATTGTTTTCGGATATTTCCGAATATAGTGTGTAACAGGCCGAAGGATGCATCTCCGACACATCTATCCACCCATGGCCGTCTGTCCGTCCGTGCCTGCGTATTTCTAAATACGTCGATCTCAGAATCCCCAAAAACTAGACTTGAAATTTAGAATGTAGGTCTAGTGCATGCGCAGTACGAGTTCCTTTCCGATAACTTGCCCCGTTTCCAAGCAATCGATTTAAATCGACATCGAAAGCTGATTTTGAGAACATGTTTTAAGTCACCAAATTTTACATTTTGCTAGAATTATATATATATATCAAGTTACTTTCAATTTGTAGCTATCGTACAACCGACTTTCTTAGCCACATGTTTACAAGGATATTAAATCTGCGGCGTGCCGATTTTTTTTTTTAAATAAAGAAATGTTTATATGTGAATTTGGTGAATTTGTCTTTTCTTTACATTAAAGCTTTTTGGATCGAGTTAGCACAATTAAGAATCCAAATTATACCCCTAATGAACAAGATATTCTTCGGTGCCGTGTTTTGACTTCTGGAATATTCGAAACAAGATTTCAGGTGGACAAAGTTAATTTTCAGTGAGTTATATTACGTATATACTTTATTATCGTTTTTAAATGTCTCAACTTTCTAACTCTATAGTATGTTCGATGTGGGAGGACAACGCGACGAGCGTAGAAAGTGGATTCAATGTTTCAATGATGTTACTGCTATTATATTTGTAACGGCATGCTCAAGTTATAACATGGTTTTGCGTGAGGATCCCACTCAAAATCGGCTTCGTGAATCCTTAGACTTATTTAAGAGTATTTGGAATAACAGGTATCATAAGGACTACCAAAATTGTTTATTGTTTTAATTCTTTTTAATTTTAGATGGCTACGCACAATTTCTATTATACTTTTTCTAAATAAGCAAGATTTGTTAGCAGAGAAAATTAAGGCTGGAAAAAGTAAATTGTCGGAATATTTCTCCGAGTTTAACAAATATCAAACGCCAAGTAAGTAACATAATCGATATTAAAAAAAAACTTAAGCCATACTTAATCATTACTTAAGACTCAACAAAATCTCAACTGATTATGAGAAGCAAATAAACCCTTTTAATAGAGATGTATTATTGATTATGTATTACTTAGGATAATGCTGATTTTCATTATACCTATAGGAGTAGGTAGTTTGAAAAAAATGGCAACACCTCGTCCATGCAGAAAGTCCACGCAGAAAGCCCATCCTGGTCTGCCGCATAAACGCCCGCATTTAGCCATTCAACTATAGTGCAAACCACTACTTTGGGCTATTGCATCCCGCACTAGTCCAGTGTAATCCGCACATTTAAAATGCGCGACATTATCACATAGCCAACAAGATATGCTCGATTGGCTTGCCGTAATTTTCTGTTGGCAAGCTTTTATGAAGTCCATTATTATGGGATTCTACAGTAATAACGCAGTCAAATGTAGGAAGCGGCGAAAAATATAATTTGATCACGTTTAAAAAGGGCGCATGAGTGTGATCTATTTGTTGATTGTTGCTTGGTCACGAGGTCTTGCACACCGAGATACTACGTCAGTTCGCTTGAAAGAGAACGTTTGAGATGGTTTGCTTAATGTTTAATATAACTATAATTAATAAGAATTAAACTTACCATTTAGAAATTCTTGTGAAATTCTTTCACACCTAGGTTATATATTGTTATGTATAACTAATAGATGTATATATTTACATTATTTTCTTATCAAATATTTAATCTGTTTATAGGTGACGCAATAATGGAATCTAATGATGACCCAGAAGTAATAAGAGCAAAATATTTTATACGGGACGAGTTTCTGGTAAGCTCTAAGTAATCAAATAACAATAAATTGAATTGTACAATTTGTATATTTCAACAGCGTATATCGACAGCAAGTGGAGACGGAAAACACTATTGTTACCCACATTTCACATGCGCCGTTGACACAGAAAACATAAAGCGAGTTTTTAATGATTGTAGGGACATAATTCAAAGGATGCACCTGCGTCAATATGAATTGTTATAGGTTATCCCTATCACCGTAATTCAAAAAAATAAAGTGAAAAATATATTATTGAATTACTGTTTTAAATATAATATTATCAAATGTAATTTGTATTTAAATAGTCCCTTGAAAAATAAAAGCGCTGCATTTAGATCTGGTATGACCTTTCACAAAACTCAACATTAAAGAAGAATAAATAAACATGTTATTAACAATTGTACTTGTTTTTATTAGTATCGCTTTATATCTAAACATATTTGATTAATTTTCCTAAGTATTGAGCATAATTTTTATTATAATATTCCCCTAACACAAAGCAAATATGAGTAAGTTATACTTCAGATAGTAAGTCTAGATAGAAGTTAAAATATTTATAACTACACCAGAGGATTAAGGAGGCCAAAACTGACGGAAGCCTTATCAATTTCGTCAAAGTTTCTTTTAATTTTACTTTTCCAGGCATTCTTGTTGTATATTGAAACCTTTCTTACCAGCACAGGCCGCGATGCATCATGGGCGTTATTGCTCTCTGATGTAAAATCTCGTAAGTCGCGTTCTGTATTGAAATCCTGTTGAGACTTTAGTGCTTGTCCTTTGAACATGAATGCCACTCTGAAATAGATAGTTCAACTTAAATTAGTCTCTAATCTAATATCATGTTAAGATTTTTTTTTTGCAATCAGAAATTAGTGTTCAACAAATAGCCTAATATTCCCACTGATGCGTCGTAAATTTCATGAGCAAAGAATCACTCCTCGGTATCCTAGCTAGACTATCACAAGTTTAACGCTCTTATATTTCCCAGGATCGGTCTTTATTTGGCCGGGTTATGGCCATTTACATTTTTGGACAAACAGTATTTGCAGTTCGTCTTATCTGCTTATCTAGCCATATCGGCTTCGTTTTGGGCGAAAATTCAGTCAAACCCCATGGTTCCTAGATGACCCACATATCCTTGGTTTTACCATACCATTGATATAGTCCTGGTGAACCTACAGTACCAAGTCCATGCAAAATATAAATACACATGCGTTTCTTTCAGCCGACCGTCCCTATATGGTTCCTATCATATTCCATCAAAATTCGCTTAAAAGCATTGTCCACAATTAAATTGAGGTTTAAAAATTAACGGTTGCAAAATACCATAACACTGTGACCGGCCGTTGGGATCTCCTTTTTAAATCAAAATTCAGCTGAAGTACCAGGCGAACAGAAATGCCCAGCAGGTAGATACACAGAAAAATTTAGTTTAACAGTCAACTGTTAAACAGCAGCTGTTATTTAACAGTTCACTGTTAACCAGCCGCTGCAGCTGTTACTTAACATACCCCTGTTAACAGCCGCTGCTACGAAGGGGCGTTAGATTTGAATGGAAATTAAGCAAAAATACCAGGCGAACAGAAATGCCCAGCAGGTAGACGAACTAAAATTTTTGTGAATCAAAAATTTCATTGCATACCCAAACGGGGCGGGCGGAGGAGCAGCTGCGTGCTCAAGTTTTAATGAAAATTCGGCTAAAGTACCAGGCGAACATAAATTTCCAGTAGGCAGTCGAACTAAAAATTTTTTAATAACAATTTCATTGCACCCTAACAAGTTATTTAATTGTTTTTAACAGTTAACTGGTAAATCAACGATCGTAAATTTGAATGACAATATTCTATAAAAGGGGCACTGGAAGCAAGAAATCATACATATTTCTGGACCGATCTGATCCTTTAGGTTCACCAGGACTATATCAATGACATGGTATAATCAAGGATATATGGGTCAACTAGGTACCATGGATTTGGATTGGGCTGTTGCTGGGGACGGCTGAAAAAATCATTCATATATTGTTACTACTTCGGTCATTTAGGTTCGCCAGGACGATATCTTTGGTATGGTAACACCAAGGATATATGGGTCATCTAGGAACCATCGGATTTTGTTGTCTGTTTGCCGCATTGCTGGTCAGCGATATTTATATTTAGATGTTAATATCTAAAACAGAACCTCGTATCGTCTTATTGTCGCGCACGTCGGCCAATATTTAAACTAAGGAGAAATTAGTCGCCTTTATTGTTCGAAGCGGAATGTAATTAGTGTTGAATGACAGGATTCAGGACATCTCCTAGTTGGAAACTCCCTTTTAGTTTTATTTCTAATTTGTCAGTAGTTTTATCCAACAGTTCGTCCATTATCATGTCAGCGAGGCCTAGGGAGGCCAGTAATCCCATTGGCATTTCTTTCAATTGTGCATATATTTTGTCCTTATATTCAAAACATCGATTTTGGTAATATTTATTTAGGTGTAGCTGTATGTTCTTTTATTTTGGTTAATTTTCGTTTTATTCTGTCCAGTGCCAATTTCCATGGGCGTACTGGAATAAAAGGGAAGGCCTTTTATTTAATCGCGAGATGAAATTTTGACTATTTCGCAAGAAATGCTTCTATGTTTGGCGTTTTGCTTACGAATCATTCTCTTTGAGTGTTCTTTTTTCCCAGAGCAAGGCTGCGATGATCTCTAAATTTGTTGTGTTCCGTTGCTTACCTTCACTTGAGTTTGGTTTTCATTTTGTTAAATATCTTTTGTTTGCCCTCAAACTGTTTTGGAATAATTTTTGGTAATCAACTGTTCTACGATTGTTTCTGCTATTTCTATATATTTGATTTGTTTGTTGCAGCATGTTCTTGGACTCCTTCGATGTCCTGCTCTCGACCTTAGTCAATAGATGTTACACGGACACTTTTAATTTTACGAACGTTGTGACAAATACAGTCAACCGCCAAAAATGCTAACAAAAAAATAAATAAAGCTTTTTGAAAATTAAAATAATAATAATATATTAAAAAATATCTGATAATACGCTGTTGTAAGTTTTAGTACTTACCTCAGGACTAATTGTCCATCAATTATTTCCCAGAAGGCTTACGTAAAAGAAGAAAATACATATTAATTTTGTCTTTTAAAAATTTTAAAGCAATGATTAAGAATTCTAGAACTTACAGTTTTCACCAAAAACACCAAAACGTAAACAATAATACAGAAATTACCTTTTGTTTTTCATTAGTAGAAAATATATTGAAAATTTTTGTGCAGTACTCATTATTATTTTATTGCAACTTATTAAATGGCCCCTCTGCCAAAAACTAATTTGTTTTTAAATTACCATTAAACGCAATACGTACTCACAATTTATCCAAACATATCAGATCATTTAAATTAAGTGCAGGAGCGGCTATCTTCTTGCAGGCATATGGCTTACGACTTGAAGATATGTATATTGGAATTTGATGAGGAAATCTTGAAGAAAAGAATATTTCCATAACTTTCGCGCGAACGCTCCTAGCACACTTAAGTTTTTCTACAGAATAGCTTCAATAAGACCATCTAGCAACTCTTCGTGGTTCGTATTGAGAACATTGTATGAGGAATTCTCTAGGGTCTTTTGACGTCTCTGGGTGGCAAGTGGATAGACCGTTTTCAATTCTGGGATTGTAAACGGTCTTGCTATGGAAGAGACCTTCTAGTCTTCTATATTTTGGTCCAGCCTTCAAGCCCTGGACACTGGATGGGCGTCTGCCTTCTGGGATCGACTTTTCAGAAGTGTATAACCGGTGTTGCTGTTTCTACGATCTCTAGCAAGCCCCCATATTCTCAAAAATCTTCCGAAGAAATATGCTATCTCATCTTCAGGCTGTGGAGGCTTTTGACGACTATCAGTTTATGTTCCGAGGAACTGCTCTACTGTATTGTAAGACACATCAGCAACGCCTTCGAATGGCTTTGGAGGGTGTCGTTCTTGAAGGGAGGTAATTTACTGTGGAGGCCAGGGATGCCCGTTCCGGAATGTCTACGATTCCGCATTTCTGGCGTCAAGCAGCAGGCGAGTGCTCCGCCTCACTACCGAATATCGCCCTAATATCAAGAGGATGCAGTAAGCCACGTAAATTGACCATTTAGTGTTTTGGTAGTTCATGTAAAAGCTCACCCAGACGTGTCCACACTGCCATCTTTATGACATTGTCAAACCATTTCTACCACTTTAACGGCGCTTAACACGAATTCCATTGATGGAGCTCGTAATTCTTCCATCCTCACCACATGAGATGGGACTATAAATTATGTCCACGCCGTATAGCTTGTCATTTACGATGCTTTGTCATCATTTATCAAACAAAAAATGAATGTAAGGTTATTAATTCAGTTAACCAATACATTCTTCTTTAAACATTAGTACTTCTCGGCTTTCTGGTAAATCTTAACAAGATTTTAAGTTCTAAAACACAATTCTCATATTTCAAATTTACCAGTGACCTCTATGTTGTCCTCTGGCAGTCGTTTCGCCCAGTTTTCTCTTCTAATTTACCATTTTTCTACATTTTACATGAGTTCAGGCTATACAAATATCAATAACGTTGCCCGTAAGTTTTCCCATAAGAAGCAACAAGCGTCAAAGTTCCAAAAGAGTTTTGCCATATGCTTTGTGATGACTAATCGACTTTCCTTTCGATAAATATGGAACTATCGATATCACAAGAAGCTGACAATATAGCAACGATATAGCAACAAAGGAATTCGGTAAATTTAATATATAATATAATATAATTGTATATAATATTAATATACTAATAATATGTAAAATTCAATAAAGCGTTCGGTCGATTCGGCGGAACTTGATTATACTGAATGTTGCATCATCGCACATAAAAAAGAGTAAGATAAAATATAATATATATGCATATAACCATTTACCATCACTTTTTAACCCTTACGGCAAGCACCCAAAAAGCTCGTCTTAGTGTTCAATCAAATAGTTTATTTCCTTTGTGAATTTATACATTTTACTTTTTCAGATACGGTTTTAGTATATTTCCGTTTTCTATCAATAATAGTTAGCTTTTTTTATTAAGTGCCCCCCACCAATACTGTCTAAATTACGCTTCGACGTTGATTGTAAATTACTTATTGGATAGCCTTTTTTTCGTTGTGGTAATGATAATAATAGTTTAGAAAATAAGTTGTAAATATTATTTAATATAAACTCTCTGGTTGCTTGAGGAATATTGTAGTAGCCAATATATATCTGTACAGTTGAAACATCTGAATAAAAAATAAAAAAAGTACAAAAGTAAAAAATTAATAACAAATATCTGAGGAAATAATATATTTTTAATTTCGGAATATTAAAGATAAATATATTAAATTAATATTATTATATGTGCAGATATGCAGTTGGGTCGATTAGAAAGTTATTTTATAAGCCGAAGGAAATGTTAAACAAATGATATAAAATGTTATAATTATTTTTATTGGTTAATAAAAACCCATAGTATAACGTAAGTCAAAATTCAGAACTTGTTGATACTCAGGTTTTTTTAAACTCCATTGTCAATTAGTCTGTGTCTGCTAGAAAGCAGACACACCTCATTCATAAATATATTTTTGCATCGATGTGTGCAACGAATATACAGGATGAGTCAAAGTCTTACTCGATCCCTTTAGCCAATACACCAAATAATAAATATAAATTTCGTGGCAACACGAAAATATCGAAATTATTGTGACCACGGACTGGTTGCCTCGTTTTTAGAATCGTTGAAACGCCTGGTTTTTCGTTGTGGACCAGTCTTGCACATCTATTGTGAGAATGCCACAAGATGCCATCCGATAATATTCTGAAGAAATAACTTTTCATTTTATTCCACCAAGTGCTCTACACTTTGGCAGTCTTTGGGAAGATGCTGTTAAGAGGGTCTGCTGGTGCGTAACTTCGCGAATACCCGGTTTCCCTTTGACGAGCTGATGACCGTTGTTGTTGAGATAAAAACAGTACTGAACTCTCACCCGATGTCACCGCTATCATCTGATCCCAGCGGCTTAAGCGCTTTCACTGCAGGACACTTTCTTAATGGAACTTCACCACCGCATTTGGACTGAGCGTGAGACTATCAGCAAAAACACCTCCCACGTAGATTCTTACGATCAGATAACGGCTGTCAAAAAGCTATTTTGGCGTCGTGTTTTTGTGGAATATGTGAACGAGTTCAGAGCTAGGACAAAGTAGAATCTGACGAGTGGCCCTATGGTTGTCATACACGAGAACAACCAACCGACTCTGCATTGAAAATTAGGTGCGTGGACTCGGATTGTTCGTGTCATACACTGCTTCCGGACGCTGTTGCGTAAAATAATCATGCAAAGTCGTCTCAGAGTTATTTAAATCACTTTGAAATACTAGAGACCACATTTTCATTAAACAGGTTATTTTTGTATTTTCTCCAAGGTTGTGGAGCCAAGCATTTTGGAGCTTATTTTTTTAAGCTTCGCAAGTAAAACTGATAACTTTATCACCTTACGCTGCGAAACCAAGATTATGCCCCACGCAATCAACAACTAGAACGTAAGAACAAATAACCAAATTAGCCGAAAGTGTAAATACTATTAATAGACTTACTTAGACTTATAAGCAAACTAAACGGAGAACTTCTATGAAACATTGTGCGCATGGGAAAGATTTTTAATTTCAACATTTAAGTCTTCAAGCCCTTAGGCCTCTATGGCCTCTCTCAGAATCTTATATATTTTATACCCATTTAAAAAGAATCTGCGTCAGAATTTTACATTTTTATACCCATTTTAAATGGGTAAAGGGTAGAAGGAATCATCACCGACCCCAAAAGTTATATATGTTGTTGGAAAGCATTAATAGTCGAGTCGATCTAGCGACGTCCGTTTGTTTGGCGATTTTTAAGTGGAATACTGGAAGGGTCCCTTCAGGGTATACAGTCTAACCCGAAGGAAGGAATACGCCTCGCGAACATGGCGATACAGTCCCATCTGTGTATTGGTGCTTACGTCAATTGCATTCTATTGCACGCAGCAGTGTTTAATCTTTGTAATCGGTACTTTTTGGTGTTGTTTAATTAATATTTTACTTAGTGTATCCTTTTAAAACTGATACCCTTTAAAACTGAAACTGATAAAACATACAGACGGACTAACGGACATAGCTATATGTCGGCAGTCGACGCCCATATGGGGTCGCAGATGTATCCTTTATAAATCTCATAGAAAAATTAGAATACCAACCACAAGCCTATTAAAATGTCTCGTGTTCTGTCTTAGTGTTATGTTATAAAAATGCGGTAAAAAATTAAAAATAATGTTAGCTCATTTTTTGTGAACAAATTAAACATCCGCAAAACGTTGTGAACCGCGCATAACCTACTGAGGTGTTTTAATATTAATTTGTTTGTCCAGAGTTTTGTGTACTGCGTTTTTTGAAAACTCGTAAGGTAATATTTGAAGAGTTCAAATTTTCGAATTGAATTCACAATGGCAACGGCGAATATTTTGTTAGAGCATTCAATTTTGAATTGGCAAAGAAGACTTCGTTTATTCCCGAAAATTCATAGCAAAGTTTAAGGTGCGAGTATTGCCTGGCTTCACGGATTGTAGTTAAAGTGTACGACGACTTTACGCAAACGTGTCTTTTTTATCTTCTGCGATTTCGTTATTTATGTTACCGAAAAATGTCTTAGTCGCTGTACGAACACATTATTGGACACTGTTTATAGCGATGCAGTTACGTTAATAAACTTTTACAGTGATGTTCACAGCCATTTTCTTTTAGTGCTCTGTGTCATCAGTCAGTCAATAACGTCAATAAATTTATAGAATGTATATTTTTGACTTTCAAGCAATTTTAACGATAATTTGACAATAAACAGTTTTCCATATTGTAGATTAAAAGAAATCAACAGCTCAGTTGTTTCAGTTCCACAGCCTACAGTGTTTGATAATTTCTATTTGCAGCAAAATTATTAGTTCGAAAAAAGCATTTATAAATGCTTAAATATTTTGAAACTGATTCCATATAGTTATGAAACAAAATTTAATTTATTCAACAGTGCACAATGAAATCTAAGAAAAGACTGGTGGATTCACTTTGGCATTTGTTCATTTTATACCATATGAGGCTTAGAAAGTAGATACAGGGTGTTCATAACATTGTGAAATAATGAAACGTTTTTAGGGCGAGTCTCTTAATTGAATACCCGTTATTATTAACAAAGTGGAACTCTATTCTGAGTAACCCTGTGTAAGGAATAAAGGCATTTTTATTATACCCTGCACCCATTGGAAATGGGTATAATAGTTTTGTAGAAATGTATGTAACAGGAAGACAGAATAAGCTCGTCCCCATTAGGAATATATGTTCTTGGCCAACATCAAAAGCCGAATAGATCTAGCTAGTTTTTTAAAAAAAATCTTTAAGGTTTTAAAGGCTAAAGTCACCAAATTCGACAGGCAGATCCTTGAATAGTCTATACATATCAGTTTATCAGTTTAGTTTAAGAAGGCTGAATGATCTTTAAAAGCTGGCAAAATTTATATGTATTTATCTTGCAATAAGTCTCAAAAGCATTAGAAAAAACGAATTCCCCCCAAAAATATTAAATCTACAATTATATATGCAACGGTAACAAATCAGATTCTATTCCAGTCCATTCCGTTCCGTTAAATATATTATAAATATACGTATATATATTTTTATATTTGTACCTTGCATTTAATAGACAGGGTATTTGCTAGTCGATTTCTGTCAAACATAGCGTTTTATGTACTTTTGCTGCTCTTAACGCGTCACTTTAACCATATTTTCTATAACATGTGGTAAATACTTTAGCAAACAGAGCGTAGGAATTACATATTTATGTACATACATATGTGTGTACTATTTATATGAATTTGTATACGTGTATTTGAAACATATGTTAACGTTAATTTTTGTACTATGTTATTAAAGATTAATATCCATCCGGGTATTTTTATCAATAGAATGTTTTCAACGTTATTAGATATCTCTATGTATGCTGGTGGATTCCCACGCACGGTAAAATGTTAAAATGTTTTGCCGACGTCTTCCGATTGCTAAAACTTGAAGTTTGTAAAAGGTTTGTGGTTAGGGCGAAAAATATACGGATTGAATATCTTAAAAATGCAATCATAAAGAATCAAAACCCCATATACAGTCAGTTTGCAATTTATTTTATAGATTTGGTACAGACTGACTCGCTCGTTTTGGTTATCTAAACAGTTTTAGCTCTCTTAACGCAAGGCTTACACAGAACTATTGTTAAATGCAATAGCCATAGTGAGTAGTTTTTTTTTTACTATAGTTGCGAATTGTGTACAAAGTCTAATGGCGAAATGCGAATGAGCGGCAGATCAGGACAGGACGTAATTCTCAAACTGTGTATATTCAGCTTACAACACCGATCTGTTGTAAAAATTTTTGCCCGGAAATATACAGAAAAAATTGTACAATTTTTCTATTTTTTATTAGTATCTGACCACAAGAGAAAGTTTATTATTAATTTCGAATCAAACACTTAAGGACACATACACTATTTTTGATTATTTACTGTTGGTTTACGGTTAAATGCCTAATTTTTTTAATATTAGATGTATATTACAGTTTTATACAACATT